TTTTGATCGTGGGTATGGCACAGCATGGCAAAACGTATGGCTTATGTTGGAATGAGATTAAACATCTAGAGTCATACTACCTGCACTTTGCCGAGCACATTTCTACACTAATCCTCTTTGCTAGCATGCTCATCATCTTTGTTTCGTGTGTACGCATGTTAATAGCATTTTATATTATTTTTTAAAAACACAATACTCAAAAAAAAGAACACTCTGGGCCACGCTGTGTATAAATCTTGATCCTATTAAATATTTTCAGTAGGATTAAGCATAAGACCAGCTGGTCTCGGTGAAGGGAGGAGACTCAGGTGATAGCCTTCTGTCCATCCAGTCGAGTAAATTTTGTATAGGGTTTAATATTTAAGTTGCCACAGTTTCTCTGCATGGTACTCTGCCACACAGCCAATGTCAGCTGTAGTATCTGTTCTCATGTAGAGCCAAGTAAAAATTAAGACATGCCAAAATCATCTTTTTTTTTGACTATAGGGGTCCTGTTTAAAATGACATTTACTGTTGTGTAATCCAAATTCATACCTCTGATCAACACATATTTTGAGCTGTAAATAGTTAAAACTATACCTCTAAGAGGCTTCTACTTTTTTCACAAATAACCTGATTTTTTTTGGAAATCTAACATGGAAACATTTCGATTTGTTCTCCTAGTTATTGTAGTCCTCTACGTGGGATTGAGACGGCAGAAGAAGAAGGAAACCCTTATGTCATCCAAAGAGGACATCCGGGATAATGTGATTCACTACGATGATGAAGGAGGGGGAGAAGAGGACACGCACGCGTTCGACATGGGGACGCTTCGCAATCCCAAGGTTGTCAAAGACAACCTGTACCGCAGGGATGTCAAGCCTGAGATGAAAAGAGGTACCAGGCCGCCTGTCTCTCAGGACAGCGCAGACATCCGAGACTTCATCAACCAGCGTCTGAAAGAGCATGACACGGACAACTCAGCCCCGCCGTACGACTCCTTAGCAACATACGCTTACGAAGGAGATGGCTCTGTAGCTGAGTCGCTAAGCTCCATCGAGTCCCTCGCAATAGACCTCGAGGAGGACTATGATTACCTCACTGACTGGGGGCCCCGCTTTAAGACACTGGCGGGGATTTTCGGGGAACAGGCAGAAACTCAGTCGAACTCAGCAACCACAGAGAACGCACATTGATGTTGTTCACAGACTCAAAAAGCAAATATGTAACAATATTCTTTTTGTTGGCTCAAATGTTTCACCATTACTTTCTTCCCATGTTTTCCATTATTAATGTTTTGGGGATTTTTTTTTCAGCTGTTTTCTATTTCATTGGTGCTTCACCATGCTCAGTCCCCAAATTGTCTCAAAAAATACAAAAAAAAAATAGAAAGAAAGAACATATGATAACATAAGTAGATGAGCTAAGCAGTCATTCAATTTCCTTTCGGCTGAATATTGTTTCTCGTCTTACATTTTATTTCCTCTCGGGGATCACGCATAGACACGGAAATGTTGCCGTTTCCAACAACATCCTTTAAAGTGCCTCAATATAATTGTTCTTTCACTTGCTATTTCATGCCACATGTCCAGTGATGTTCTTTTGAGCCCCATAGATAAATTCAGTCAGCACTGTGCTCCGACTGGCAGAAGCATCTACCAACACCAATGTAACTCTGTGGGGACAATGAGGTGGCCCAAGTTTGGCCAAAGATGTTTTGAATGTTATTTATTGTTCTATTTATTTATTGGCTGATTGAGTTTGATTCGATTTTTGTGTATTTATCTATTTATCTCTCAGTCATCGATCTGTATTTTTATTTTTGGAGACACTTGAGGATTTTGTAATTAATCGAGGCCCACTTGAAAATGTATGTTTCTATTAGGTGGGTCCTGTGAATAGACTTGTACTAGAGTTGTAAAAAAAAAAAAAGAGAGAGAAATTAGGGCTAAATACTGCAGTTGAGTCATGTAAGCACTGTTTTGTTAAATAAACCACACTTGGATAGAATCCCTCTCCATCTATTTATTACTTATGACAGTTCACTGATTTATGGTGAACTTAGAAGTTGTATGAATGGACCAGAGCACTCTTAGTACGTACATTAGGTGTAATTGTAAAGCTGTATATATTATACATGTGTAAATAGTAAGTTCTAGCTATCAGTGGGTGATGTTACAGCACTAAGCACCAGCATATTCATACTGTGAGGTGCTAACTAACTTAGCCATCAAATGTCATTATGTATAAATAGCAGTGTTGGGAAGGTTACTTTTAAAATGTATTCCATTACAGAATACAGAATACATGCCCCAAAATGTATTCTGTAACGTATTCCGTTAC